ATACTATTCACAATTTACAGATAAGGACGCTGTTCCCGCTAAGGATATGCTGGTTTCAACTACAGTGGTGGTCATTGTCGTTACCGTATTCTTCCAGGTATTTTTTCTAATGTTGGAATAATTATTGTTTTATTGAGGGTGAAGATTCATTGTGGGAAGTGGGAACTCCAAGGAAAATGGCAGGTAACATGGAGAGGGGAGGAGGGTCGTACCAGAGGAGGAAATTCCGAAGAGGTGGTCGTCCTTTGCAAAACTATTCCCCAACAGCAGGACGTGCCCTTTACAGAAAATGAAAAGAAAGGCGTTGGTCAGTCAGTAGTGAAGATAGGCCGAACAAAGCAGCTCGGCGCTGCGGGAGAAGGAGACGTTCAGTTAAAGATACACTGTAGGTAACCTGCAACATGAATCGTTGCCATGTGCGAGGTGAGCAGGCTTGCAGCTGCGGCTGCACAATTGTGCATTTTTCATCTATTGAAAGTGCGCGGGAATGAAGCTTAAAGTTGTAGTAACCAGATGTCGTTCACCCACTGCCGTTCTTTTGCGTGGACACCGTGGCGCCGCATGCACCCATGCAAGTCATGCAGCCAAAAAACAGCGAACGAGTGGAAGTGCGAGGTGGTCCTTCTCACTTTCAAGTGGCCCTTTCAGCTATAATTAGGAGGAGTGTGCCTGGTCGTGCGTGTTTGCGTACTTTGCCAGCAGGTGGAGTACGGAACGGCATCCAGCCATCACTGCCCGCCTGCCTTATTTCAGCTTACTTTCGAGTGAAGATACTGTCACAATTCTACTGCTGCACAGCCGTTCACCTCCCATATTACTGATATCAGGATCCTCGTGAGGGTGCAGATTAATTTCTGTCGGGCTGGACGTGCAGGTGTGCACATTTTGCAGAGATACATACACTTGTTAGGCTCCGAAATGGTACGGGTTCCATTTGCAAGCTACTTCTTGGTTCTTATGTCAGGAAGGATTTAGTGGAGGAAGTTGCGAGCAAACGAAGCGGTGCCAGGGGATGAGGGTTGTTACCCGAGTCTGGGTGGAAGGCTCTGAGTGGATAAGCCATTTTGTGCAAAAAGTGGTTTGAAAGGTAACAATTATAATAGCCTCATATTGGTACACAGGTGCAAACGAAACTTCCACCATTTTGAGCCAAGACCTTCAAAGCCATAGAAACCCTGAGAAACGACACCATTTCACTTGGCCGAGTTTACGGGGAGCGATTTCTTCTGAGTACACCCAAGAGCTATTATTTGAACTATCTGGGTAATTCTGACCATCGGAGGCTCTCCATTTTACATCAGTGTTTTCTGGTATTGGTATCTCACGAGAAACATTTTAGCGTTTTTGTCCTCACCGTTCTGACGCGTTATCTCTCGTGGCTGGGGTTATATTCGTGCTTTGTTTAGACAAGGTTAGACAGCGTTCAGACTTAACGACTGCAGCGCTTCTGTCGCGCGATCGACGCTGTCGCAAAGTCTGAACGCTACCTTATTCGACCGCTAGGCTCATCATTGTACAAGACTATCCGTTTGGGGCTGAGGGGGGGGGGTTGTATTCCACCCCAAGGTGCAGACTGGTCGCTGGCCTAGGATTAGTCTGCACCAAAAAGCCCTTCAAGCCGGAGGGCAGAAATATTAACGTGTGTGGTTCTCAATGTACCGAGAGGGTGAGGAGACACCCGTTCTGGTCCCTACATTGCTTGTCTTCACGGAAGACAGTTGATATTCTTTTTGTGTACAAATTTCCATCATACAATTCATGAGCTTCTGCTTCAGGGAACCACGATCAAACCACTAGTGCGCCTACTAAATGTGAAAACCCAAGAACCTCAACAGAAGACGGTCACGCAACAAGTGCTAACCCACGTAGGTTTTCCTGTATTGCCTATATCTCGGAGATGGGGAGGGTGTGGTTGCGTACTTCATGTAAATGTAGCTATAGCTGCGCATTGGATATTGCTGTTTTGAAACGACCACGAAATCGTTGAAGTGCGCAGCCACTACCTTTCCCTCTCTAGGATACGGACATTGATTGATTGTATACTCGAAATCCCTGAGATCGGGTAGGCGTGGCCGCGGCGTTTCAACCTAACCTGAAGGTGTCTATGCTTCTGGTGAGATATTTTCATCTTGACACAATTGTTGTCGTGTCTCTGTCCAACAGAACAAGATGACAGTTGTCCCAGACTGGAATATTCCACGAGTAACCAGTTCCGTGCCATGTTCAAATGCCACGCCTACTCTGGCTCAGGGATAAGGAGTGTACTTCAGATCTCGTAGTGCGTGAACCCTTTATCACGCTCTGCATATTTCTGAGACTTCTGAATAATTTTGCTCCATTTTTGAATTACTTAACCTGCTTCACTTTCACCTTATATTCTTGAATTCTTTACGGGACGCTTAACTGCCTTAAATTTGTCACGGCAGAGTGGCAATTAGTGGCAATTTACACCTCTTACCATAATTACTATCTGGAAAGTGAAGCCCCACACAAGCAGCATACCTCTGCTCCAGCCGTTCGACAAACACCAAACCATTTTTTTGCCCTATCCATATTTCTTATCGTCTCTTTTTTCCTTTCTCTTTCCTTTTTTTTCTAATTTTGTTGCTAATCTCATAGTGAGTAACTTGTTCAACTCAAAATTATTCAGCCGTTCATACAAATATTATAGCATTCACATCTTCCCAACTATTCATTAATTCATTTAATTTCCGAACTTCTATTTTAATTTTTCAGAGTGGCGATGACATGATGGCTGGTGTCGAGGCTATAATCGGAATGCGAGGATCGAATTATGTGGGTTTTTCATGGTCTTGGCCCTTTTTACAATAAATATGCAGAAAGACTCTTCCACAATTCGATTAGTCCAAAGGAGTAACCCGTACTCATTTGCGCACTTTTCCCCAAGATACTGATCCCTTCCTCAGGACTAATGCTCAAACTTGGGACGTGCACCATCGGCGCCATTAGGTTTCGGGCTAAGCGCATACGGTATCTGCATTAAGGGAGTCAAACCATCCCTTTGGACAAAATTTCACTCTAATCTATCTTCGACAAAAAAGAGCATGCCTGCTCACGCCAGCGCGCCTCTGCTCATTGTAGGTATGCTCGGATTACATTGGGCTCTGCTCATCTCCACAATTTCCGTGGTGTGCAGATTTGAGTCTTGTCTAATGACGAGCCTTTTGCATATGGATGGAACCTTTTTTTAAGAGGCTCCATGACCTGAAAGAAATTCCTTACTGGATTGTATGTCAGGTCTACTTCATTGCGAGGCGGAGTTAAAGTAGTAGCAGGTGGCATGCTACCCATCGACGGTCGGGGGTCAGATCCCGGATCAGCTTCCGTCCCGACCAGTCGAACCTTGTACCTCCTTCTAAAACATCGACTTCTACCTAGGCTGCCCCCCAAGCTCATTCTATAGACCACATCGCCTTCAATAAGCCACTACGATTTTGAAAAGAAAATGAATGCGTGTCTTATCCCAAGAGGGATTGATGACGGTCTAGCTTTTATCCTTTTATGCTTCACTTTTATGGGAAAGGAATCACTGATATGGTGTTGTGTGCCCTTTACCTGCTGCTCCACGGACTGTAGTCCTCCAAAACCCACGTTCTGGTCCTAGGGATCCCTGTGGAAGTCGTACGCGTGGCTCATTCCTGATCTGTCGCTGAACTCGGATCCTCCAGAGCTTATTCCTTCCTGTTTCAGTGGCGGAGGCGTCTCTCGGAGTTCAATCACAACTATGTCCAACCCACCCTGATGCGTACGCCGACGTCACGCGGTGAAAAGCTAATGGAGAAGTACTCGGCACTTTCAGCGGAAGAACAACGAATGAGATTACTTGAACGATATGGCGTATGACAATGATGTACATTTAATATCTGCATGACGGCCATTGCACAGAGGTTCTATATGCTGGTAATTGTCACCATGACACATTTGCTTGTCAAAAAGTATTACTGTAATGTACGTACATCCATTAACCGAAACGTACTGTTGACCAAGTGACATTCACTTATTGATTGATCAAGTCAAAGAATACTATGAGCGTATCGCTCACATGGTTACCTGTTGGAAGACCATTTTTGAGCCAAATGTTGAAGTATTGCTACATTAAGCAATAAAAAATTCAAAAATCTCATTGGAATTGCGGAGTTATTAAGGAGCGTACAGACTTCGCGATAACGCTCGTCAATGCAGAAGCGCTCCTTCTATCCTCCCATATTCCCGAATCATTTGCGAGCTCTCAGCAAGTGTCCGCCAAAGGGTTGACAAAAGGGTTGACAGTTCCTATAGCTTTTCACCGGCGCTACTCGGCGCTAGGATCCACCTGCACTCGCCGTCGCCTTTTTTCGCTAAAGTCGCAGCTGTTCTGCATTCGAGCTCAATTGGGGGGGGGGGGGGGGAGGGGGGAAGCCCGATCACAAATAAGACATTGGTTTTTATCTTTGCAGAGCGCTACATGGCATGAGCGCCATGTAGCGCTCTGAAAAGGCTGTAGCTTGGAGGAGGAGTGATTCCCTCCTCCTAAGGCAAGCTCAGCCTCAGCATCGCATTTATGAAGAT